TACATACATACATACATACATACATATACATATACATACATACATACATACATACCTACCTACGTACGTACGTACGTACGTACGTACGTACGTACGTACGTACGTACGTCCATCCATCCACCCATCCATCCATGCATGCAGCACATGCATACCTACATACATACCTACATACCTACACACATGCACATCTCTGTATAAGACAACGCAGTTGTAGTTTATAGTACACATCACATATATCATATACCATATATACAGTACGACAGGGTTTTGTATACCATAGTATTGTGTAGTAGAGTAGACTAGAGTACAGGACACACAGATACATGTATATATGTATACACATGTACGTATATATGCATATATATATATATATACATGTGCATATATATATATATATGTAAATGTATACATACACATACACATACATACACGCTCATACACACACATACATACATACATACATACATACATACATACATACATACATACGTACATACATACATGCATCCATGAATGCATGCATGCATGCATGCATATCTCTCTCTATATATGTGTATATGTATGCATATACTCTGTATGCTTTATGCCAAAGTGTTGTGCCCGAGCAATATGTGGGGGTCTTTTGAGCCAGGCCGCATTGGTCATCACTCCTGGGCTAATTAGTGGACAGTATGGTCATATCGGGCTTTTAACCTCAGGGCGTTTCGTTTCTGGTTCAGGGCCCAACGAGTCAGGGCCAAAGGAATTTAATTTCTGTGCTCTCTGCCAGGTCAACACCAAGAAGATCGAATCAGGCTGTGAACCAGGCAAAGTGGCTCGCATCATCTGGCGAACTCTGCATGGTTGCCGGTGTCTAACGACGCATAAAAACTGACTTTCTGAATCCTAAGCAACCTACACCCCTCCCTTCTTCATCCGTCTCTTCGGTCAAGAAGTCATCGGGATGCCGGCAACGTAGGACTGGTGTGTGGCTGGCCCCCCCGCCCCTCCCCCCACCAAGCTTCAGCGGCCTGGTAAAACAGAAACCCTACGACCGCTAATTCGAAGCTCATCTCTCCAGATCGCTGAGTTGTCACCGGCGATCTTTCAACCTCACGTAACCTTGAGACCCAAGCAGCAAGGGACTCCAGTGTGCCCTCGCAGTACTCTTCAGGGCTTAATTTGTGTTCAAGGATTTAGGGGTCAAAACCTATGAGAAAAGATCAAACCTCAAAGCCGCAAAAGCTTCCAGTCGCGAACTGCCAAGCACTGCCAAGTAAACCGGGATACATTCAAAATCCCGACTGGGCGGCCTCTGAGCAGGTCCCCTTCCCACAGATCCAGAACAAAACTACCAACAGTAAGAACACGCAAGACAGGTCCCAAACAGGGGCCCGCACGTTCCAGGGATCAGTATATGCCCCCCGGCCCAATTCGCGAAGCCACAATTTCAAAACTCCAATAGCTACGCAGAACACTAAAGCCGCTAAAGGATCCAATATAGAGATTGATTAGAGTTAGAGCTTCCTTTGAGGTCAGGATGAATAGGGCAGAAACCATGAGGCTGGAGCTAAGCATCATGTTTCCAAGTTCTTCAGGGATTCCTTCCTTACAGGTCGCAGTCAGAAGATAAGAAGATGAGGGTTTAGGGGTACGGCATCAGTAAGTACGGTTTAGGATTCCGGCTTGAGGATGTGACTGAGGTTCTCGGGTTCTGCAAAGTCCCTAAAGCACGCCACGCGTCTCGGATGGTTCTCCAGGACCACTCGCTTACCCTGGACAGGTTCAAGGTTTATCGGTGGGAATAAACTCATGTGGTGGCATTTTAAAAGAAAACAGGGGCCTTCGGTTCGGAGTTTACATAATTGCCGCTGTTGTGATCGCCGCTTCTGGCACGAAGGTGTTACCGCTGTAAGTGTCTGTGCTTTGTTGAAATTTGCGTGGCTGGGCATGTTAAAGGAGCTTTGGACTCTCACCTATAGTTCTCGAGCCGTACTCACTCAAAATCCTTGGATGCACCGTTCGCTGGAATCGAAATCCGACACTCCGAACCCCTTTCCTTAAATCAACCTTCGCGAAGTCGGGTTTATGGAGAAGCACTAAAGAGACCCTGGAGCAGCTGGAAAGATCCGAGAACTAACATGAAATAAACGCGCAGGCTTCCCATTGAAGACAGTGGAGTTTTCAGGATACGGAGACTATTCGGACGCAGCAGGTCGCGCCTACACTCACGCATATCAGCAAAAGATGCCACCCAGCCTAAACGCTCAACCCACATCAACCCATGAAGCAACGGTGACCTGAATGTACTCCACGATGATGGAACGGCCAGAAGAATCAGCGATCGCCCAATGCAAGCCATGGCCCTGACTCTGAGATGGGGTCTTAAAGATTCTGACCTAGCACATTGCATACTCTGCGCCTGTGGTGGAAGGTTTGGAACTGTGCCTAAGTGTACTGGGTCTGCAAAGGCATTCTCTACTGCCGACGGGCTCACCGAAACCCTTAACTCCCAAACACGGCTTCGTGTTTCGGATCTAGGACTCAAAAACCGTAAAGCCAAATACTCTCCTACAGCCCAAAGCTCAAAGTTCAAGGCTTTGGCGATTATTGACATCGGGTAAGGATTGTCAGCACCGGGTGCTGTGGTGCTGTTGAACCGTCCAGCATAACCACAATGCTGCTGATGCCGGCATTGACAACCAATGAAAATGATAGCAGTACCAATCATAGTGGTGACGCTTATAACAGCCCCGCCTCCGGAGAAGATCCCGGCAATGTCGGAGCCACAACTCTTACGGACTCAAGGAGCTCAATGGCAGCATCAGTAGTCGAACCTTGGGAAGGTGATGGACTCTCAAGATCCCCAGACCCTCGGACAATGCTTCGAAGGATGCTAGTCATCGTAAAGGCTTGCGGCCAGTGCACAAGGAGTTCTCCCATTCACTCAGGGTTCTATGGTTTAGGGATTTAGAGTAACGGTCGAATGTTCCGGATGAGGATGTGTTGCATAAGCATCAGTCCAAGTTACAGTTTGCTAACAGCGCCGGGACGACGTCGACGGCATTCAAGCCTGTCCTTGGAACGTATTGCCGCTTGGGGCTTAGTTTCGGATTATGGCCTGGGGCAGGGCTTTACTCCAGGGTTAAACGCCATGAAATAACCGAAAGCACCGGAGCGAAATACACGCTAAATTTAAACCTCGGAGCCCTAAACCCTAAACCCCTCAAAGCCCCACACAGCCTTATATCTATAATACCGCACACCCTACCACTACAAGACTGTCAGAAAATAACGACACACCTTAAACTGGTGCTTGGAGGAAAGGCGCGTCCCAGGCTCTGCCTGCTCATAGACGGACTCGAAAGCTTGCGCCGAGATGGTTAAACCTGCCTTGAAAGAGTTTAGAGGCTTTGGGGTTTGTACTAGACCCGTCGACCGAATCAGTAAAACCGATCATGTCAAGCTCAAAGTTATGTCCCCAAACAGTGCTAGGCTTCGCCAGACCACCAGACATCTACATTGAACCCGAGACCCCACCCCACTGGGACTGGCTGTCCACGAGTTGGAGGGCTCAAGTTGTGATTGAAACTTCGCGGTTTGGTTTTGGGGTCTTGGGGCCTTCGGGTTCGGAGTTTTAGGGAGTAGCTTGCAATTCCTAACAGTGTGGTACACAAGTGACTCGATCAGCATGTGCACGCGGCGCGCGATGAGACGCGTTGCCACGGAAGCGGCGCCCACTGTGTCACGATGAATGTTTGTTGCGCTCACATGATTTAGACCGGATACGTGCCATGTTGTTGGCGTCCTCCTGAATCCCGCCAGGATTTGGGGGAAATATTTTGGGCCGTGCTTCTCAATGGGTCAGTACCCGTCACGGTCCAACGAGCTCAGACCAAGATACCAGTATGGAGTTCCGTTACCCAGGGCCTCCAAATTCTAAAGCGGTTTCGGGTTTAGAGTGTCCGCGCCAGCGGGATGCAGTTTGGAGCAATCATGCCGCCTCGCTCTGATCATCACTCTAAACCCTCAGACCTTGTACTGACGCCGCAAAGGCAAGGTTCCTGACGTGCATCGACTCGCGCCTCATTCATGCCCTCGAAGGCCACGTTCACAGGCAGGCCAGTTGGAGGAATGTGGAAGATGTTCATTGGCGCAATGTAGCCTGGCTCGACCACAAACCAGTTGGGCAGCAAACGCATGGCATGTTAATCATAGAATATGACTTTGCACCTAGAAATTTATTTGCAAACACGTGGGGCATTATGTGCTATAAGTGTACACTGATTTGAAGGGACAGCACTACGTACTAACTATGCAGACGAGCATCACACGCCGGACTTCTGCATGTCTGAATCCCGTGCATGAGCCCAACCCAACACTGAAGATCAAAAATCATGATGCAAGGATGAGGCTTCAACATATCGCAAGCATGTCTGTAGGCGTTGGTATATGTTGTTGTTGTTGTTGTTGTTGTTGTTGCTGTTCATGCTCGTGCTTGTGTTCGTGCTCTTGTTCTTCTTCTTGTCGCTGTTGTCGCTGTTGTTGGGACTGTTCTGCCATAGCTCGTTATATGTGTCCTGTGACTCTGGTTGCACGTGAGACTTTCAAACGAATAAAGCGTGCGTGTGCAGGTTTGCGGTTGTCCGGTCGGTGCGGGTGGGTTGATGGCTTCACATCTTTGGGGTTGCCGAGATGCCGAATTTGTTGTCCGCAGATCGTGGAACCGCATCGACTGTGTACATCGTGCTGTTGAAGACGTTAGCAAGCTCCATTGTCCTGGTGAGGTCTCTGGCAATCGTCAGCTCACTCTCTCTCTCTCTCTCTCCCTCTCTCTCTCTCTCTCTCTCTCCTGCACTCATACACTCATGCACTCACTCGCTCGCTCGCTCACTCAGTCACTCAGTCACTCACTCAGCCACCCATTCACTCACTTACTGACTGACTCACTCACTCACTCACGCACGCACTCACTCACTCACTTACTCACTCACTCACTCGCTCGCTCGCTCGCTCGCTCGCTCACTCCTTCTCTCTCTCTCTCTACATATATATATATACATACACACACACACATGCAACTATGTATATACAGGTACACCTGCATGCTTACACTGTAGTGTTTAAGCTTACGCTTATCATGTCCTAGTGCTGCTATGCTGCATCATACCCATCACTGCGCTAAGTTTTAACTGTGAATTAGCGCTACTGCTCCTACTAATGAATCCTTCATAGAGTGTACGTTTTCTTCCTTTCGTTCCAGGTCGGCTCTTCGACCTCTGTGGCCGAGAATGAACGATGTCAGTGAGAACAGCAATCGTGATGAAGAGTGTGTCACTGTAAGAGGAAGCTATGGTCCGAATATCTGACGTCTCGGTTTATAAGCCCCAAAGCCCGGAAAGCTCCAAACAAACCTACCGACCCAAACGGCATTCCTTGAAATCAGATACGAGGGATGTCCGTGGTCTTGCCATGGAATCTCCACATAACTGCACCTAGGTCGGGCATGGTCACAGATGGAAACCTGACCCCTAAACCCTAAAAGCCCTTCAATCGTCGGGGTTGGAGAAGGCGGGGGGAAAGGGGCTTACGGAAATATCCTCAAGGCTCCCGGGCCCCAGAAGCTGCGACAAGGACTCCTAAGACCAAACCTGGCCAAATTCTCGCTGCAGGGCTTCGCTTCGCTGGAAGCACATTAAAACCTAGGTACTGAGATCAAGAAGAGCCCCACAAACTCTAAAACCTGTACCCCGCAACGTACAACTTGACGCACATAAAATCGTCCCAAACCCGCAGCCCGTGGGTAAAGTGCACCTTTCAAAGATATTGAAAAGCCATACCGCTGAGGAGCGGACGCCCAAGCAGCGGGCAGATTTAGAAGGAACTTCAGCATGGCCAAAGACGCTAAACGCCCTGCTTTCTTGATGGCAGAGGTCTGCAGGAATTGCATCTGTAAAGTTGTTATGCTCCTTTCAAATTGGCGCAGTGGTTATGATTGAGCTCGGCTCGAAGTTCGCGAAAGCAGCGCCAGATAGATGTTCGAAACTGCAACTTCATGCCGGTTGAGGAGTTGAACTGTTTGCCAAGCTCGTGGTTCCGAATCTCGAAGACCGGCTGGCCCCGTACTCATAAGTACAAGAAATATGTAAGAAAGAGACTACGCATTGTTGGGGAAAGTCAACGACAGACTTTGTGCAGGGTGAGCCGGCGCCGGTTTGGGCCCAGGGTCTTCAACAAAAACTTGGCCCAACCGGAAGAGTCTCCAAATTGTGCACCCGGCTGAGATTGGTGAGCAGGTAGGCCAAAACGCTAAATGTCTACGGCACAGGATTTCAACACCGTAGTCTTTGCACCACAAACCCCACATGCGGAGGTAGCTATGACGACAGACGTTGATACTGACATGCATGCGGCACGCCCCCGCTGGATGTTGATGCCAAGCGAATGACCTCTAAAAACTGCATAGTCGCATTGAGTTGAATTCGGTGTAAATTGTTGTCGTATAACTGTATAACTGTATAACTATGTGGGGGCTATGTACAGGATACTATTTCTCAATTTTCCGACCCTTAAGCCGTTAACCCAAATATGCCTTGAAAAACACCCAGGTTCGGGGCTAGTTTCTCAGACCGTCCTGCACCCAGCACTCCCGGGAGCCCTACACCGCAGAGTCCGAAGCCGTCTTCAGCATTTGCTCCTGCTGGACTTGTATTACCACCATGGCAATTTTCGAACAGGCTCCTGGTACCAATATGAGTCCTCCTACAGTACTATCGCTAGTATTGCTGGTGCTTTATTGTCGCTAACACTGCTGCGACGGTCCGACGGAAGTCGTTGGCAGGGCTTCGAGGAGTTTATTTTGGAGCTTATTGAGTACTACATGTAAAGACGGTGCCGGCAGTTAAAGGTTGGGTTGTCGAGAACAACAAGTCTCCTGAGGGTGCGGTTTGAAGGTGAGTTTACGGATCAGAACTCCGGACACCTAGGCCCGAACTCCCCAAAACCCTAAACCCAACAGAATACAGGTCCCCACAACCCCAAAACCCTACAACCCCCGTTTCCGAAACCCAAGCTTGAGTCGAGGATTTCAGAGCTTCAATTAAGGTCCCCTCCTGTGGCGCCAAGAAAAGACAATGTATCAGTCGCACGTGAAGGATCCTAACCAGCTGCCTAATCATTGATTACCATACGGTTGAGAGTTTAGGGTTTGGATTCTCAGCCCTCGAGCTCAGTGTGGAGTTCAGGGCTTCGGGCTTAGGATCGCAAGGGGTACTTGTTGCGGGTGGGGTTGAGATTTTAGGGTGGAAGTTGTTTAGATTTCATATTGCAGGCTTGGGGTTAAGGGAGCCGAAAGTCTTAGTAAAGTCCACGCAACAAGTTTCGGTTCACATGTGTGCAAGAAGGCTCTCGTGCCACAAGCCCCCACCCAGGAAAAAAGCACTAAGTACTGTACAGTACCCTTGACCCAGAACTCCTTGGTTCCGTGGGCGCTAGCATAGGAGTTCTTGAGGGCAACAGGGTCAGCGCCGGCCTTGGCAATGTGACGCCTTACCATGCCCCCTGCAGTTGGGGCCCTAAACCCTGCTCCGACCCGAGCCCGCCCCCTGGGCTTGGGATTTGGGGAAACACACCACAAGAAAGCTAAACCCTGCATCAGGTCAAAACTCGGTGACATTATAAGGGCTGGGTACCTACCGCAGCACATTGGGAGCTCCTGAACATGCACGGAGGAGTGAAGCACTAGACGCTAAACTTGCACCCCGAAAGCCTTATCCCACACCCTCAAGCCCTGAACACTGAACCCTTAAACTGAGAATGCCAACCGCCAAGGCACAAGCTATTGCCGTATTCTGACAAGAAGCCTCAACTCCATCGACTAGTAGCTAGCAGCTATGCATGTCGGAACCTGCGAAACACCCACTGCTGCAGTATCTAATGGAAGTAAAAATACCGGGCGGTATTTGCGTGTATGTCTCTGTGTGTGTGTGTGAAGGGGATTCAACCTCTGCATATCGCCCTCCCCGAGGTCGGAAGCAATCGGGGTACGGAGCTGTATGATATTAGAACGATACTCCACGAAAACTTGCTTCAGTCTTCTACCGATTTCAACCATGGCACAGCAGGCGAAGCGAATAACAGCAACGGCAATATTGTGACTGCGCATGTTCTTTTTGTGTTGTGAGCAGCATTGTTGCTGTTGCGGTTGCCGTTGCCCTTGCTGTAGCTGGTGGTTGGTAGTGGTGGTGGTAGTGGTGTAGGAACCGGCATTGCCTCCACTAGAACTACTACTGCAAACCTATCTTCTGCAAACTGATCTGGAATTTCAATGCTTTTACAGGACCAGCCCAGAAGGTTTCCCCTTTTCCGGCTTCGTGTGAGTGTAGGGGAGGGAGACACATTCGGTAGAAAGTCGAAGAGCCTTGGCCAACTCCACTGCCTTCACCTGACCAAGGTGCTCGGGGTGCGAAATGGGAGCTAGTAGGGTTTGCGGCAATCACGGCTTTATCGGATCCACTTAGGATCTGGTGTTGTCGGGTTCTCGAGTATTTTGCAGGTCTACAGTAAACTACATGGAGACGAGAAACACACTGAAAAAAAACTTCGTTGCCGACGCATTACAGACCACCACAAGAACATGATAAATACAATACGCACCGCTTGACAACATGAAGACAACCACTGGCAAGTAGTAGTGAGTAGATACAGACATCACTATACGAAACCCGAGCAGGCCAACGTGAAGACCCACCCATATTTCGGATGACGTGTGGTGAAACAACGTTCAAGCCCGAAGTCACATCTGAGCCTCTATAGCCATAGGTATACTCGGAGTTGTGCGGTATAACCAATATATCGGGAAAGCTGTAGCAAGACTGCCGTTGACTTTAGAGCCCCTCCGCGCCCGGGTACCATGATACCCCTGAGGAACTTCGTGATCTCGGAAACCTCGGGGTTTTAGATGCATTATATATCAAGAATATTTGAGTAAACGAAGGGAGAAAGTTAATAATCTATGTGCTAATATGTTTAGTGGCGATTTACGAAAAAAGAAAAAATAATATTATCTGCATATTAATATAATGTTTAGTAAAAGTTTCGCGTAACTTTGTTAAAAAAACAGCATCCTGATGATGTTAAGGGGTTTAAAATAAGCACATCCACAAAACAATATAGTCCATTCCAATTACAAGACACGAGATATTTAGAGCACCTGAAGCATCATATGAAATTAAGAGAAACGCAAGAAGGAAGTATTTTAAAATGCAACGAACTATTACAAAGCAACAAGAGACAAAATTATCAGTTAGAAATGGATAGGTTAATGAATGAACTTCATAGTCCTAACTTGCCACACGCAACAAAGGAGCATATGGAAAACAAAATTGAAGAGTTGAAAAAACTTAAATTTGTTTAAATAAAAAATTGTTGAATAATATAATAATCTAAATATATAATATTATTGAATGGCAACAATGACAGCAAGATTTGAGCTTGATAATCCTTATGCCAAATATGGATTACAGCGAAGACCAACATTTGAAGAGATTGTAGGTTTAATCAGTGATGGCCAGAAGGCATTAAAACCACTGCCAAATCGTGAGGCAACGAAATTTAGAAGTAGTCCCCAAGGAAGCTTCTTCGATGGTGCTGATGCTATGGAATTATTGAAGGAACAGCAAAACAGAATATTAGATAGACAAATGAGAGAAGCAATACTACGGAGACGAACCCAAGACAATAACCTAACACATCATTTAGAAAGACCCCATTTCTCAACCCGCCTAAGATTTCAACCCTTAAATCCCGCAAACAAAGCACTTCCCAAAAACCAATACAACAATCCCGAAACAAATCAACACACCAACCCCAATACAATTATCCACTAAACCAAAGCAACCCACCAAACCTATAACCTTATCCATAAAACAACCAATATCCTAATATGAGGTGTGGGGTAAGACCCTAATAGAAAAAACCAAACGCCTATAGCCACTCACATGGTGCTGAAACATCATTTTCCTACCAGTATCCAAATAGAACACCTTGCACTACAATGCAACTAAACCAAAAGCGCCTACCAACCTACCAAACACTCAGGTGCAGCAATGAAAAGGCGTACATCTGAAATACAGCCCCACGTACATCGACTATATCAACCTCGCTTAACAAAGTCCTTCACCGCACCAATATGCATCATACGTCATAATCAGCGAGGCTATTTCATGCATCACACCCTAAACAAGCCTGAGGCAAGCTTTTCTGCTCTTCCTCTCAGATGTCTCGCATGCGCTCCACATTGCTATGTCTGGGCATTTGCCTCGTCATTCTGATCATCCTCCTCCTCTGCCTCCTCCTCTGCCGCTTCCTGCTCCTCCTCCAAGGTATCTATGTTGACCTCAAAGTCTTCAAAAACTTGTGCATAACGCCTTAGCACGCATTTCTGTGCGGCATCCAAACGCGGGGAAATCAAAATTCCGGGACCGCACCATGACTGATGATGGACATGGCCCGAGAGTTGCCGATACAAATCGACGAGATAACGACCGCTGTGCAAAGGATCCTGCCCTGAGCACTCGGAAACTATGTTGATCATCGCTTGCGCGGTGGGACTGACCCTGCAATGCAACAGGTCAGCCAACACTTCCGTCGTCGAATTCTTATACGGGATGCCTTCCTCCCTCCTGACTGTAAACACAAACCGTTCCAGCATTCGGCGAGCAGTAAGTTCACCACGGAGCGCCTGCAGCTCTTTCTCTAGGCCTGTCCGCTGCACCTGCGCTGGTTTCGGATTTGCTTCAGGCTTTGCGTTGTCAAGATCTATCTTGAAAGAGATAACTGAAACATCTTACATGCTGGGTGTAGGAAGCCCTGTGCTATGAGAACTGACGTATTGGAGATCGAGCCTCCGCGAGCTGCCTTCGGGCCATCTCGGCTCTGGTCCGCTCGGTCTCGGCTGTGGTCCGCTCGGTCTCGGCTCTGATCTGCGCGGTCTGAATAGCCTTGCAGGATTCAAGGACAGTACCTTTTCAAACGGTCGGATACTGAGAGACAACACCTCCTCAAACACCCCAGGATAAACCATGATACTTAAACCCTTCTCCAAGCGGGGTTGCATTCTTAGCCTGCGGATTTCATTAAGGCTGCAGGGCCTCGGATTGCTTGCTGAGGAGAAGGCGCCGAAGTAAGGACTTCACCTTGTCGTTGTCTGCGCTCTCAAGCTCGTCCAGAAGGTCCTCCATCTCAGACCCCTCTGGCATGGCGGCGCTGCCGACTCGTCGCCTTCCACTGGACTGACTTGCTCTGTAGCCAACGACAAAGTTGGGCACGGACCTTGCACGGAATGACATCAGACATAGTCCCATCATTATCATATTGACACAGCGCCCCAAAGATTGCCGGGCCATGGCGGCGACACTTCAACCTTCAAGGAATAGTCTGGCATAAAATGCTGAGGATGAGGAGCAACTGCTCGTACTGGCTGTGGTGGTATTTGGGGCTGAAACCAGAATCAGCTGCAAGGCATTTGCTTGTGGATTTATATGTATAAATACATGTAGAGGAGTGTGGGTCTCAAGGGGTCTCGGAATGAAAAGGCTTGTGAACCGTCGCACGTTGGACACAAGCATGCCGCTGAGTGCGAAATACCACTGTAGATCAGAATGTGTTCCCTCACGATGGTTCAAACCCTGTTCATAAATCATGCTTCTATTCTGCCAGAAACATCCCTGCTCCTAAATTCCTGCAGGAGCATCGTATTCTTGGAGCAGTATGGGCGTGGCGTTCTAAACCTGCGCGGGTCATCTGTTGAAGGCAGCCAAAGGTGCTGTGTAGTGTAGACGTCCTTTATGACGTGTGCAGACTTCTAGACGTCAACTCCGACTGGACAAGGCATTCTGAATCGCGGCCAAGATTCCAGATCTACATTTTTAGCAACTCGTGGCGCAAATAACCTCTCTTATCATCGTTCTCTAAGTAATAATACTTGTGACCTAACTTTTTATTTATTCGTTTGATTTTCTGGGGGTTTCTCACCCAATGACTCGTTTTCTCTTTTTCACTGATGCCTTTTTTGCGCATTATTTTAACACGATCGCCTGCTTCTATTTCGGGGTATGTTCTATTGCGTTTTGCCTGTAAAGATATATTCAACTTAACTTCAAATTCATTGTTATTTTTCCTTGCTTCTAATGGGGTCATTTTAGTAGCAGATGAAACCATTTTACTACTATAAGTTAATAATATCTCCAAATTATAATCTATCCACTGTATATTTTGTTTTCCCTTCTTCTCATCTGCTTCAACTCGCTTGAACAACATATCCTTATATGTTCTGATGAACCTCTCGGCGAAAGCTGGATGTCCTCTTGTTCTATGTATCTCAATTTTCTCACCCTCTAAATATTCTATAACCGTTTTACTATACAAACTCCCTTCTTCATCACTGTAAAACATCTTCGGTTTATCGCCCATTTTTTGTAGTCCTTCCATGATCCCCGCCAACATATCAGGCGCTTCTTTGCTCTTGATCGGTATGACAGTAGCATATTTACTGAAAATATCAATTAAAAAAACCCTATTCCAAATTTTTGGTTTTCTAAATCATTTTTGCTTATAAAAACAAATCCACCTGCTACTCAAAATGGGCGTGAGGTGCTACAAAACTATTCTCGCCACGCGGTTTTCGCTTTTCTTCAATGTTACTCTTAAAGAACTTTTCAACATCTTCTTTCGTAATAGTGGCGTCCTTTTCCCTACTGTTTTTTAAGGTTTGAGCTCTACTCCCAAAACCTGCTCTGTCGTAGTAGATACTGCTGATAATATCTTGTTTAGAAGCCATTATAACATACAAGATATTATTTTTCTTTCTCTAATCCTTCTAAATACAACAAATGCTTTTTGGTCCGCTCGTGTCGCTTTATCTCGTGTCGTCCAACAACTGAACCACAATCGCACTCAATTGTTGCCTTTTTGTGTTCGCAAATTTCGTCTTTGTTGGTGTCGTAATATTCTTTGCTCTTTTGTTTAACATGTTCTATATTGGTTTGACGCCATTTCTGGTTAAGTTGTGCTACAAACTCTTTATTCTGTTTTGCGTGTTCTGCTTTGTGTTGGTCTATCGCTTCTTTGTTATTTTGGTAGTATTCCCTTTCCTTGTCTGATATAATGTCTTTGATTGTTTGCCTCGTAATATTTGTGTTTTCGCTTAGCAATCTCTTCATGCTGTTCCTGATATTCTTTGGTTC